CGGGGAAGAGGGATGGGGATAAAGGGCAAAAAACAAAAAACAACAAAATAAGCAGACAAAAAATACATATATCGATCACCTGGATCACCTGTTGAGAAAGAAAAAAGAGAAAACAAGCAGAAAAAAAGAGAGCAATATAATAAACAACATCATTACGATGATCTATGGGAATATATATCGTAAGCACATATGGACACAGACATACAGGCACACACAGATACAAACATCCATTCCCACCCTCATGCTCTCATATGCAAATACTCAGCAATTACCCAAAGTGGAAACAGACATAAAGAGACACTGTACACACAATCACACTCCCCAAGTGTATTCTATACCCCAGGTCTAGGTACCCTTGCCCATGGAGGGGGAAACTGCACCCAGACCCAGGTAGTGTTACCCCTTTCCCTGGGGTGGAAAGGAGCAGACTGTCCCGACTCGGCAGCAGCAGGGAGGCCCCACATTCCAGACCCCAATCGGACGGCCAACTGCTCCTCCTAGCCCCCCGCTCCAGCAGGCTGCAGAGAACGGGGGTGTGTGAAGATTCCAAACCTCCCTCCGCCCGCTCATATGTAGTGTTGATGCATGTGTGTTCTAAGATGCATTTAAAGGAATGCTCCTGGGGAATCCCCCAACGCCCCAAGCCTGTCCCTACCCCCACACCAATCACAACAGCAAAGGTGGGACCAAACTATGACCCCCCACCCCCACTAGGTGATGGAGCTGATCAAAGGAGCCCAGAGCAATTGATCTGATGTGGTGGCAGAGGCAGGTATCAAGACTAATGTAATCTAATAGGTAATTTCTATATTGGTTATAATTAAGATTATTTTTATTTTTCCAGTTCATGAGGACTGTTTTCTTGGCAATGCATAGGGCAGTGAAAACCATATGGGCTATATTCTTTTCTGAAGTGACATTATCTAAGCTGCCCAACAAACACACTAAAGGGACTTCGATAAGTCTTCACATATCTCGCGCGAAAACTTATGAACTGGTGGACAGAACCAAAGAGCGTGGATATGATTGTCCGGTGAATTGGTTTGGCAGTGTGAGCAGTTGTTGGCAGACGTAATGTCATGAACTGGCTGTGTGGCAGGCAGGAAATAGGACCCAAACGCAAACTCACGGGAAAACAGGACTGAACTCAAAATACAGCTTTATTGCTGACAAAAGATGACAAAAGATAACAGCGATACAAAATAACATGAAACTAAACTGGGAAGTACTAAGGAACGGCCTTACAAGGAAACACACGGAGGGGCACAAAGTCACGAGGGAGAACGCGACACAGAACTGAGGGAGACACAGACATAAATACACAGAGTTAATGAGGGAAGTGGGAGCACACGGGGAACACAGGTGACACTGATAATCATAACAAGACACGGCAGGAGTGAACGCAACACTGACGGGAGACGGACAACGTAAAACAGGAAGTACACAGAGGTTCAGACAGGAGGAGAGAGAGCACAGGGAGAACACAGATATAACGGGCTGGGGAAAACATGGAATAAAACACAAGGAGAGATGAGGTCTCACAGATACACAGGGGCACACAGGAGGTAACCAAATAAGGAACATCTTTAACAGAACCTAGGAACCATGGCATAAGGAACACAATACAAAAATACAAGAAAACTAAGAATGCTGGGCCAATATGGCCCAGTATCATGACACGTAAAGCCCATCTTGAACATCCGATGACCTGTATAGTGCACTCTATGTAGTATTTTGTATTGAATTAATTGAAGACTGGGATTTCTAATTAAATGAAAGGTTTTTAAGCAAATCTGAGACCAGAAGTTTTGGTCTAAGTTAACTGATAAATCCGCTTCCCATTTTGCAATAGGAAGTGATATTGATTCATCCGTTTTAGAAAGCATTCTGTATATTTTGGAAAGTAATTTTGGGGTTTTAAGAGTAAGAAATTGAACCACACTTGGTGGTGTTTGTAGTTCAACTTGACCCAGTTTAAATTTCTTTTTTACTATGGATTTAATTTACTCATTCTCAGTCATTCACAGCTCACTGACAATAGTGCTGGCAAATTATTCAGCAGGATCAAGTTTTCGGGGATACAGATAACTGACAGCCTCTTAATACGTCAGTACTGGTTGAAAAGGGCTGACCGGCATCTGCACATCAGGCACTGCAGCAGATCGTCTTCACTGTGTCTATATGCCTAAATACATTGAGTTGCTGCCATGTGATTGGTTAATAAGATACAAGTTAATAAGCAGTTTAACAGGTGTACCTAAGGATGTGGCCAGTGAGTGTGTAAGTGTCAGAAACACAAGTAACTTACCTCTGAGCTTCAGTGGGCCCACAAAGTTCCCCTGGTGTAGTGTTTTTGGAGGGAAGGATCCCATCATTTTTCCCTTCTACAAGATCCATGGTGGAGCTCATATCTTTATACAAAATACACCCAACTTACAAAACATCTGAGACTAAAGATTGCTTTCTAGAACACGTCAAGGATATTGTTAAATTCAACACATATTTTCAAAGTGTTGTCAGAGCTTCCAATATTAATTATATTTCCTCAAAAGAAGCAAATACCTTTTAAATTCTTATCCATCAAATCATCAGTATTTTCTGTAATGTCTGTAAAGGAGAAACAGAACATGGAGTTTGTTGTTTATTATTAGTTTATTATTAAGACCCTGCATATATTGGACTTGCACATATGTTTTCCACACTCACTGAAATGGCAGCACAGATTACTTTTTATGAATGATGACCCCCACCCCCTCTTCTGATCTCTATTTTAATTTTAGTTAGTTTAATCTTAGTTAGCGCACAATAAATGGATTCTAATTTATTGTTAGATTATTTTCTTGCTCGGTGTTAAGCTCTTAATATATTCACACTTATATAGTGCTACTGGCCACTCAAAGTGTCCATAAGTTTTACAATACTTACTACTTCCTCATGACTATTTATACTACACCAAAGTGTATCTATATTAGAAATACTGAGTAGAAAAAAATGTGTTTTACTTTATTATTACTCCCCAAAACTAATTACAACTAAATGTGAAATTAAGCCTGAAGAGTTTGTATTAAGGATACTTTGTCTTGTGGGGCACCTTGTCTTGACTGAGGTACATCAAAGTGAACACAAGCTCGTTAACAATTACCTTAGTATTGTCGCATTTATGATATGTACGATTTATACAAATCGAAAGTTTGTGTTACAAACTGTTTATGCTGTAAAAAGTAATTTGGATTAACGTTTGTGACAGGCTGCTTATACATGTGATGTTTTTAAATGCTTTTTACTTATAATTCTTGTACTAATGTCGAGGGCTGCAGCTATCGATTATTCCATCGATTAATTGAGTAATCAGATAAGAATGAGTTTTGTCTTATTAATGAGCAATATTAAATAAACAAAAGGGGGGAAAAACACAGGTCTTTCAATATCAACTGCTCATTTCCATTATAAAATTGCAATATTTAAAATCTCTAACAACAACAATAACAACTAAACCCTTTAATTTTATGCACATGTCTTTTGAAATCTATTTTTGTAGTTCTTTCCAGTTCTTTTTCTACATATTTTAGTAGAACTTCTGGAGGCTTACTGCAGATTTGTGTAAAGCAAGCGGAAGTGGATGAAGACTCTGGCTCCAGAGTGTTTTTAGTCGCAAATGTAGGCAACTGCGCGCTACAGAGCCGTGTGTTAAACGAAGCATCGAAGCAAAGAATTTGTGTCGAGTTTTTTGGCTGTACTGTCTCCAACAGGGTCAGGAGATGCTGCACTTCACTTGTTCTGACCTAAATGCATTTTAAAGAGAGAAAATAAGATTTTACAGTACCTTTTCATGGTGACAGTAACGCTCCAAGGTCACTGAGAAAATCCACCATTGACAGAAGTGCACAAATCCCACTATCACGCCCAGGCGTGAGTCACACCAGGGCGTGTGACAAAGGTAGAATAAACGTAACGCTCCATGGGCTTTTTCCTTGCAGGCAGTCAGTGCCTCTGCTCTGATTCGGAAGCATTATAAAGCCATAACTAGTAACCATAGGTGTTAAAAATAAAGACATAACATTTTGCGTAAGCTTTAGTTATACCAGTACGTTTCCATAAAGCTGCAAATCTGAAGAGGAAGCGTGCCTGAAGTCGCAGCTCAGGGCAAACAAACACAGATCACAGGCTGAGGATGAATCACAAAGATAAACTTGGACCTCAATGAAGCTTCAAGTTTCACTCTGACTGGAGAAAAAACTGTGACATGATGAACAAATAAAACCTTTAGTGATGTTAAAATGGACTTCTTTCCATAAAACAGGGGCCTCTGCACACTTCTTCACTCTGCACTGCTTCTTTTGAGAAGCCTGATTCCTGGCTTTTCTCTTCTGCATTTTGCTTAGTGAATAAAAATAACAGCCTATATTTGGCAATCCTGCCTCTGCACTCAGAGAAACTTCCTCTTTCTTAGTTTTTCCCCCCTCAAACTGCAGTCGTTGCTTTGTTTTGCTCAACACTTTGTACAGTTTTTGCTTCTCTTTTCTCACCTTTCTAAGAGCTGCAAATGATGAGTTCACTGTAAGTTCATTTAACTGCTTGCATTTTAGCCTTAGCAGGATTTTTCCAAGGCAACTTTATAATACATGAGGTTTCATGTGAGTAATTAACTTAATGGAGAAGCAAATCAGTACAACAGGTACCAACAAGAGTGGAGAATAGAAGGATGTTTGTGTTCACAGGATTTTTACCATGGGAACGGGTAATTAGGGTTAATTCAGTCTTGGATTTAAGATCCTCCTTATGACTGCAAAACTTGTTTGAACATCATCACATAAGCTTTGCTGATTGTCAGAGTAATTTTAGTAAAATCAGTTCATTCTGCCTGGCAGCTTCATATTTAACATCATTTGTCCGATATATCCAGTCTCCCTCCTCTGCACATGTTCACACCATGTCAGCGCCGCTTCTATTCCTTTGTCTCTAAACCACCTCAATGTAAGTGTCCCTGTGATGTACTCATTTCTAGCTTATCCTCGTCTCTCCTAATAAAGACCCTGCCAGCTCCATCACATGAAATACAATACAATATACAAAAAGCAATTAGATATACAACCAAAACACACAGTGGAAATACAAACATTAAATCATACTAAGTTTAAAGTGATCACAAATCTGCTTTGAGACATTGTTGAGAAATGCCTTCAAAGTCTTATTATAATTCCACAATTTGCTTCATTTATGTGACACCACACTTGATTTCTTTAAATTCCTAAAGCTCAAAAGAATTAAACAAAATTTAAAAGTCCTTAAGATGCTCATGAACAAAATTTATTAATAGGAGCTACAAACTCATATATTTTTCCTTGATTTTTGATGACATGTCAAATTCCTCCATTTACAGAGTTCCTGTGTAAACATTCACAGGAACTTTGGACAAAGGATTTTCCAGGACTTTTTACAGTTTACACACAGGCGTCTGATCATGAGTCACTCTTCTTCATCTAGCCTCCTGAGAACCACCTTATTCATTTATGTCCTCTGTAATGGACACTTGTTTTTGGTCTATATCTTTTTACTACTTTGAGCTACCCTAAGAAGTCCCGATGGACATCCTGGGCTTTCCATTGATCTCTCATGTGTTTGGGTGGCCTCTTTTAGCTTCAAAGAGGAAGGGAATAACAAAAAAATTCAATGGGAAGATTCTCTTTTCCTCAGTTTTCAGGAGGCTAGAATGTGGCAAATAAGAATGCTAAATGTAATGTGTACTCATTATTATCTACTCTCCGTTGTATCTAATGTCATTCTTATGGACTAGATTTCTTAAGGAGACTCCTGGGCAAAACATTTCCCACCCAGTAATCCGTGGTCCCAAGAAAATATCTCCCACACCATTACACCATGAGCAACCTGAAATGCTGATACAAAGCAGGATGGAGCCATGCTTTCACATTTAAACCAAATTCAGACCTACTATCCAAATGTTGCATCAGAAATGGAGACTCATCAGACCTTCTGTTGTCCAATTTCCTGCTCATATAATATAATATAATATTATATATAATAATCATATATAATATAGGAGTGATACCCGATGTGGTCTTTTGCTGCTGCTGCTTCAAGGTTTAACATGTTTTGGGCTCAGAGATGCTTTTCTGCATACCTTTGTTGCAACAAGTACATATTTGAGTTACTTTTGCTTTCATCAGCTTAAAACAGCCTGACTAGTCTCCTCTGACCTCTGACATCAGCAAGGCGTTTTCACCCAGAGAACCACAGCTCACTGGACATTTTCTCTTTCTCCAAATCCTAGAGATGGAAAATCCCAGCAGATTAATAATTTCTGAAATGCTCAAACCAACAACCAAGCCACATTCAAAGTCAATCAAATCCCCCATTCCTAATTCACAGAGTTCAGGTAAAGGCTGTTACCTGTAAATACACAGATCTTTATGTGTTTTACAAGTGTAACTGAGTGCAAGTATATATTGCACACAAAGATGTGCATGCTGAATAATGTCATTAACTAAATGAAGTCTCATTTTATGCTGCTTTGGATTCTGCTGTGGGCTCTTCCCAGACCAGCGGGGGATTTAAATCAGATTTATTTAGGAGTGAATGAGATTTAACTCCAAATAGGATCTCCAGGTCAAACCATTTGTAAATTTATAGTGATCGTGATTTTATCTCAGAGGTATTTAGATCTCTTTGTTGGGCCAACTTTTGTTTTTTTCTATTCGACTATTTCAGAGAAATACAATGCTTAACATTTTTTTACTACCTGCCATAAAATATAAACAAACAAAAATTATTTTAGATATCTGTTTTGTTTTAAATTCAAACTAACTTTGTTATTTGCTTAAATAATAACAAACTGAATTTATGATTTTATACGCAAATTTGAGCCAGCAGACTGGACTTCTCTGAGAAGTAAGAAATTAGTCAAGCACAACATTTTACCACTAAAACGAAACGATTTAAGAAACCAACAACACAGCCCTGTACTTGATGGCACCAATACATCACTGTTCCTCTGCTAATGGGACTGGGTGAAGATGAAAGGTGAGCAAAGCACATTCTATGAGGATTCAGTCTGTGGGACACAGGAGAGACTCCCAAATAATGACATTCTGGGACAGATAAAATGGAAAGGGCCCTGCCGTCTTTCTATTTCCCCAGATGCAAACTGTTATGCCACTGTGACAGGCCTAGTGCCCCCTCCAAAGAGGTCAAGGAGATTAGCCCCTGCTGATATAAATGATGTGAGGCAGATGTGAGGTGACACATATAAAAGCTGTTTTATATGTGTCAATATCTGCAATGAATCTGTATTGATTAACGAACACTGAACAACTGCCATACACCTGATATACAATGCCCCACATTGATGATGCCCTGTATTCCTTGTCAGGCAGCCAATGGTTCTCAGTATTAGATCTGCGTATGGGATACGATCAGATAAAAAAGGCTGCGAAGACAAGGAAAAGATGGCATTTATTTGTCCCCTTGGTATCAAAGTCAAAGTCAGCTTTATTGTCAAAGACCATATGTACAGTCATACACAGTGTTGGTCAAGTTACTTGAAAAAAGTAATCAGTAACTAATTACTGATTACTTCCACAAAAAAGTAATCCTGTTACTTTACTGATTACTTATTTTCAAAAGTAATTAATTACTTAGACCTCACATACAAGGTCTTAAATAATCAGGCCCCATCTTATCTCAATGACCTTGTAGTACCATATCACCCTATTAGAGCACTTCGCTCTCGCTCTGCAGGCCTACTTGTTGTTCCTAGAGTATTTAAAAGTAGAATGGGAGGGAGAGCCTTCAGTTTTCAGGCCCCTCTTCTATGGAACCAGCTTCCAGTTTGGATTCGGGAGACAGACACTATCTCTACTTTTAAGATTAGGCTTAAAACTTTTCTTTTTGCTAAAGCATATAGTTAGGGCTGGACCAGGTGACCCTGAATCCTCCCTTAGTTATGCTGCAATAGACGTAGGCTGCCGGGGGATTCCCATGATGCATTGAGTTTTTCCTTTCCAGTCACCTTTCTCACTCACTATGTATTAACAGACCTCTCTGCATTAAATCATATCTATTATTAACCTCTGTCTCTCTTCCACAGCATGTCTTTTATCCTGTCTTCCTTCTCTCACCCCAACCGGTCGCAGCAGATGGCCGCCCCTCCCTGAGCCTGGTTCTGCCGGAGGTTTCTTCCTGTTAAAAGGGAGTTTTTCCTTCCCACTGTTGCCAAAGTGCTTGCTCATAGGGGGTCATATGATTGTTGGGTTTTTTTCTCTGTATCTATGAAGCGCCTTGAGGCGACTTATGTTGTGATTTGGCGCTATATAAATAAAATTGAATTGAATTGAATTGAATTAGTTACTTAGTTACTTTTTAAAAACACGATTTACAACCTGAAGAGGTGATAAAGCGATAGATCTTTCAGCCCAATTCTACTTTTTCTACATAATCCATCATACAAAATGTAATCAAATGGAAAAGTCCCTTTTAAAACTTGTTTTATTAGTTTTAACCTTTTAACTTTATGCATCAAGCAAACATTTAATTATATGCAACATTCTCTGACTTGAAGAAATTAGTTTAACATTTAAACCTATTTTCTGCACATTCCAGCACAGAAAATAAAATATTTTTTGTGTTTACACTCAGTCTTTCAAATAGACACTAAAAAATGACACTAATGTTTTTGTCATTTTTTATGGAATCAAACTCAAAGTAAGGTCAGTACTTCCACGCTTTAAACGCTGCACGCTCTCTCCCATAATCGATATGTGATCCATTGTTGATCTGCACACAGCTGTTGTCACTAACAGCGCACTCGCTTACGTCACTGTCATGAGACATTCTCGCAAAAAAAATCATGGTTTTAGTAACGCAGCGTTCCTACGGGAAAGTAATGGTAATCTAATTACCGTTTTTGCAATAGTAATCCCTTACTTTACTAGTTACTTGAAAAAAGTAATCCGATTACAGTAACGCGTTACAAGTTACAAGTAACGCGTTACTGCCCATCTCTGGTCATACACATTTGAAATTGCAATGCTCGCATAGCCCTCAGTGTACACTAAAAATCTAAAGATGAAAAAGCAAAAATAAAGTAAAATAACATCAAATAAGTCTTATGTACAACACAATACAATACTATACAATTATTTAAACAGCAGTGTCCAACACAATCATAGTGATTGTGGGCCAGTTCGTGTGCAAGTGGGAGTGCCCCACTTGCACTTTCACTGACTGCCCCAGTCAGTGAAAGGGCAATGGTGGTGGGTCAGAGTTTGTATGTTTGGGGTTTTGGGGGGGGGTGGGGGTTCAGAAGGAAAAGATGAATGCTGGTCTGGAGTTCATGTGTGTGAGAGCAGGGAGTGAATTCAGCATCCTGACAGCCTGATGGACGAAGCTGTCTTCCAGTCTGCTGGGTCTGGCCCGGAGGCTCTTCAGTCTCCCTCCTGATGGCAGCAAACTGAAGAAGTTGTTGGATGGATGAGTGGAGTCACCTGTAATGCAGAGGGCTTTCTGGATGAGGTGGGTGCAGTACATCTCCTGGAGGGAGGGAAGAGAAGTACCTACGATCCTCTCTGCTGTTCTCATTACCCATTGTAACTTTTTTCAGCAGGACCCAGTGCAGGAGCCATACCACACAGTAATGCAACTGGTGAAGATACTCTCAACTGTGCCTCTGTAGAAGGTGTGGAGAGCAGTGAAATTATTTTACTGCTATTGGTAAATAATCATCATCATTACCATTGCATTAATAATATAATTTACAGTATTGATATTGTATTCAGAGGTTTAAACAGTGTGTGTGTCTTTCAGAAAGACTAAGTTGCAGGCAGGAGTTGACAGGAAGTTGCAGAGAGTTTGCAGAAGTGAAAGCAGAGTCTAAGTTATTCTGAGGAGCAGGTTAGACGAGGCTATTTGAATTACTAGGTTATTCAAAATGTCTGTTATACTTTTATATTCTTTTATTAAGCTTTTAGTAGAGGTTCTTGATTAAAACATTTATTCAACATAGTACATATAGTTTCAGTTAGGTTATTGTACCTAAGGATGAGCCTCGGTTCTGGTAAAAGGTCAGAAGTGCAACGGGTGAGATGAGAGAGCATGTAAGGTCAACACATACACACACACACATTAGTTAGACTCATTTATAGGTGAGAAGTTGGTCATGTTTGTCTCTGGAAAGAGGAACAGCGTCTGGCAGGATGTGGGGCTCGTGTTCCAGGCGAGATAGAAGACAATGTTCTTTTAAACCGTGTTAAAAGTCATTGTGGTTTTGATTTGACGTATGTATATATTCTGTCTGTGACGTATGAAGGGCGTCATTAATTCAAACCCTGATGCTATAAAAATCTGTGTATGCTTTGATTAAGTCGAAGATCAATCCCTGTCTGTGTACAGAGTGGTCTTCCCACGCGTGTATTCATTAAAATCAATTGTTTGACCAAGATCTTCTGGACCAATGGTTGTTTGTACTCTCCTTCCTCAATATTTGAACCTTAACAAAGGTTTTCATAATAGGGGTTGAGGCTCTTGCTCCCCTCAGTTTGTGGAGGAAGTAGAGTCACTGTTGGGCTTTACTGACCAGTGATGGTGTTTTTTAACCAGCAGAGATCTTCTGAGATGTGCACACCCAGGAACTTGGTGCTGCTTACCCTCTCCATAGCAGCACCATTGATGGTTAGTGGGGTTTGCACGGTGAGAGTTCTCCTGAAGTCTATGATGATCTCTTTAGTCTTCTCCACATTCAGGGACAGGTTGCTACCATACAATATCATCCTGGGTGCTGACTGTGACAGATCATTCCATATATACATTTAAAAAAAAATCACAATTAATTGAAAGGTTTTATTTTACCAACAATTGCACACAGAGGCTTTTCACAGATGACGATAATGTGAGAGTAAGCCTCTCTGTGTGATAAAAACTAGACCTTTAAGAAACAAAAAATCATAGCAATACATCAAGCAATAATTCACAAGGCATAACAATTAAAAAACAAACCAAAAAAAACACCCTCTTTGTGCTTATAACATAATGGTGAAATAAAAAATGTGTTGACCTCAAATTACAAAGTGCCTATAAAAAATATGACCAAGAACAGTCACAGGTATCACAACTGGTTTATATAACGTTTTCTTTGGTATGTGGGAAAACCCTGACATGCAGAGTAAATAATGGATAGAATAATGGAACAAAAAATTAAGACAAATTGACTGTACTTCAAAGTCTCTCTTTAAATCTAAGAATAAAACGGTGAATGCTACAGGTACAGAACAGTGTTGAGGAAACACTTTAAGAAGAGAGTGAATGTTAGAGAAAGAGTTTCAGTCTTTCATGAAGCTGCTCTGATCTTCTGATATTTAAATTGTATTTACACTGCTGTAAACTGTATTTACAGCATTTATTTACAGCATTAATTTGGCATGTGTAAGTAAGTAAGTAAAGTTTATTAATTAAGCGCTTTTCATATACAGGCAGTCACAACTCGCTGTACACACAAAAGTTAAAATAAACAGAATGTTAAGTAACAAAATAGACAATCTAAATAATACAAAAAGTTTAAAAAAAGAGCATTTATCAACAGAAGATTTGTTTAAACAGAAAAGTCATACCTGCTTTTTAATGGATTCCACAGAGTCAACCAAAGTGTAGTTGTGGTTGTACACTGTTACACAGCATTGGTGCCACAGACTGAAAGGCTCTGTCCCCTTTCGTCTTCAGTAGTGTACGGGGAAAAAACAAAAAACTCTGAGTCTGTGAGCGGAGACAATGAGCAGCAGTGTATTTTGTAAGAAGCTTGGATAAATAATCTGACCATGGCCAAATAACCTGGCCATTCAGTGCTCTTTATGTGAAAAAAATGAATTTTAAAACAAATTCTAAAATCTATTGGGAGCCAATGTAAAGAATATAAAACAGGAGTAATGTGAGCTCGCTTGCTAGAATGAGTTAGTAGTCTGGCTGCTGCATCTTGTATAGCTTGGAGGCAAGAAAGAGATGATTTGTCCAAGCTGGTAAACAGGGCATTACAATAATCTAAACGTGATGACACAAATGCAAGAGCAATTTATTCCAATTCAGTTAAGGAGACCATTTTTCGCAGTTTAGAAATAAGAATTTTGAAATAAGAGCGTCTAACCTCTTTCACTGACTCATTATATAAGTGAAGAAGTTCTTTGAAGTGTTCATGATGGACACCACAGAGGCGTTGAAGACCACAAGTTTGATTATTTAACCAGGGTGCGCAGGAACTAACAGAGCAATGCCCAGTTTTGAAAGGAGTAACCTGATTGACCGTGTTCATTAAAAGAGTTAATAAGGAGCTCAATATTGTCAGAAGAAGTTTTAAAATTTAAAAGACAAGAAAACTTAGAAATGATCGAGTCATCAATAATAAAACCTTGGGGAAGAGACTCTGAGTTGACAGATACATTAAAAGAGAATGACTTATGTTCAATAAAAACAACGTCATTTAAGTTCAAGTGTTCAAGGGAAACACCATAAGTGAAGATCAAGTCCGGAGTATGCTCAGCAGTATGAGTACAACCTGATACATGCTGAACAAAATTCAAAGTCCATGATGCTCAGGAACTCCTTAGTGGTACTATTTGATGAGTGTTCTGCATTACAGTTGAAGTCACAATGACCTTGCCCATTTTAATAGTCGAAGTTAAAAATTATTGCAAGTCTGACAGAAAAGACGCAGCAGAGCCAGGTGGACGATAAATTACAATACTGTACATGGGCTGATCTCTTCCAATTTTTAATCATAATCATCTCAAAAGGGTTGTAGCATCTTGAAGAGATCATCTGGCATAAAAATGTCTTTTTTAAAAATTAACTCTGTTCCACCTCCTCGTCTAGATATCCAAGGTGCACAAAGAAGTGAACAGCCTGCGGGACATAGCTCTAAAAGATGTAAGACTTCATTCTCACACTGCCATGTCTCAGAGATAAACAGAGATAAGCGCCTTGAGGCGACTTATGTTGTGATTTGGCGCTATATAAATAAAATTGAATTGAATTGAATTGAATAAAAATCAAGCTTCTCTGCACAGAACAAGTTATTTAAGATATAAGACTTGTTGGCAATTGAGCGGGCATTAATTAACATAATTTTAACGTTGCAACCCACCGGGACAGGTGTAGGGTGGCCTGGAAGAGAGTCTGCACTATGAGGTAAACCACACAGCAAATCAGGGTTCCTGCTGCAATGAGCCGTGGCTTTCCATGCTTTCAGATGACAATTCAGGTGGTAAATGCAGGGCGTTGTGGGGATTAATCCAGCTCCGACAAGGCTTAGGTGTATATTACTGGCAGTAGCCCAGGGATAAAGCCCCCGAAGGTCTACTTCTCTCTGAAGCCAACAAATCAGCACAAGAAAGCCATCTCTCTTCCCCCACTTCCACCGATGAGGCCTCTGTAGCAAAAACACTTGCACAACATGTAAAGTAAACAAACACATGGACAAAGGCAGCGGCACAGCCAAACACAGGCGCCATTTTACCTTCCTTGTCTTGAGAGGAGCACAGCTTAGATGCAGAGTGGAATTACACACAAGTACCGTATGTGGAATTAGCTGTATGATCACTTACAAAATGAACTGACAAAAGCGTCATTCCAGACCAAAGAAACTGAGGCACCAACCAGACCACCCAAACCCAAATCCAGCATAAAGAGGTTGAGTGAATGTGGTGTTGAAGGTGTGAAGGTGGATAAGAGTGCCAGATGAGACTCTGAAGAAGGACAGAGTGCCAGCTGGACAGTCCACATACACCGCTACTCTGTCAGGGATAGAGTAGGAGGAGTAAATGACTGTTTCTTTCCCATTGTGCCAGACGGAATAACCATCACAGCATCGCAAACTCCAGGACTGATCATTCCTTCCAAACAAACAGTCCGTGTCTCTTCTTCTTCCAATTCCTTTGTAACTCACTGATATATGAACATCTCCTGTCCACTTAACCTCCCAGTAACAACGACCAGTCAGACCATTTCTACATAGCAGCTGAGGCCAGTGGCCAAATCTGTCTGGATGATCAGGATATGACTGATCCTCATACATATACGTCACCAATCTGTTGTTATCAGACAGCTTGAGTTTTCCATGTACTGTATTTGTGTCAAGTGTGAGTTCACAGGAATCTGATAGAGATAAGAAAGACAATCCAGCTTCAGTTACTGGTGCATCTGTTGATTGACACTCTGATGATGACTCCTGATATCAGAGATGTGAATGAGTGATGATAATGGTTAAATATACAGTTTTGGGGTCCTTAGGGACTAGTAAAGCGCTATATAAATACAGGCCTTTTTTTTTTTTACCACTTTTGTTTGTTATCCAAACACTTATGGCTGTAAGTTTATTACATGTTCTGGTTTGTTTTATATGTTTATAACAGCTGATTTAGAGATCGTTTTGTGAATGTGTTTCTACCAGGAATTAGCCTGATCCCAGAAGTGGATTTTGCTTAGAGTATGGTCTATTACCATAGCAATGATGCTAGCGATCTAATTTGCATATCAGAGGATTGTTAAAACTACTGTTTATCATTACTTAGCAGCTAAGACTAACTTTGATACATGTTTTCTATCACTAACTATTTCTTTTGTGCATTTATTTCACAATGTCAAAGAGCTAAAGGATATTTTATTTTGAGTTAAATTGAGTTTGGCTTGCTGTTTACCTGCGTTAACATACACAGTGTATCCAACACATATCGATAACAGTATAGTCATTTTGCCTGTGTTACCCCTGTGGTAGATTTGTGACATTTTTAGGGTGTACACACTCTCTTGTCCAAAATGTCTGTGAAGGTTCTCAGTCATCCAGGTCATCGTAGTCTAAGGAGCTTGCAAAGAAAAGCGTCTGGACTTCTTTGAGTTGCTTGAAGACGTTTCACCTCTCATCCGAGAAGCTTCTTCAGTTCTAAGGGTCAAATGGTGGAGAGTCCCAGATTTAAACCCAGTGGGAGTTACCCCCCAAAGAGGGACAAAGGACCCCCTGATGATCCTCTACCTAATCAGATGGCCCAGGATGTGAGTGGGCGTTAAGGCGTCTGGGAAGAGATCTCAAAACTGGATTATAGATGGCAGACAGATGGTGTCGTAAACCACCACCTCTGTTCAAAGATGGTCACTCACAGTGGACCTAAATGGCTTCTTTCACTCCTCTTTCAACCCATCTGTCCTCTCTGTCCAGAATGTGAATGTTGGCATCCTCGAAAGAGTGACCTTTGTCCTTTAGATACAGATGAACTGCTGAGTCTTGTCCCGTGGAGGTGGCTCTTCTATGTTGTGCCATGCGCTTGTGAAGTGGCTGTTTGGTCTCTCCGATGTAGAGGTCTGGGCATTCCTCGCTGCACTGTACAGCATACACCATGTTGTTAAGTTTGTGTTTAGGAGTTTTTGTCTTTCGGGTGAACCAGTTTTTGTCTGAGTGTGTTGCTGGGTCTGAAGTACACTGGGATGTCGTGCTTGGAGAGAACCCTCCTGAGTTTCTCTGATACACCGGCTACATAGGGGATGACCCTTTGTAGCCATTTGACCCTTAGAACTGAAGAAGCTTCTCAGATGAGAGGTGAAACGTCTTCAAGCAACTCAAAGAAGTCCAGGCGCTTTTCTTTCCAAGCTCCTTAGACTCTCTTTTCCAAAGTTAGCGAGGATGGGCTTCATCCACCCTGTGATTCTGAAAAAATATACGCTCTTGAAAAAAGAGAAGTGAGTTTTGTTGGTGACAGAGCTGCCGTCTGTCTTGTCGTCCTGTTAGCTTGGTAGGGTGTGGCTAACTGAACAGCAATGTTGGGGAACAAACACACATGATATTTTCATATCTATGTTCAGCACATAAGAGATATAATTTTTTTTTAAAAAGATCTCAAAGAAGTCATTAAAAAAATTAACTACAACTTGATCCGACCTAAGAGTTTCCAGTAAACAGTTTGGACTTTTCAGTCCCTCAAACAGAAGCTTCATTCCTGAATCCTGCAGGGTGGTGTCACCCAGGTCCAGGTCTCTTAGACTGGAGGACTGGGAGGCGAGAACTGAGGACAGAGCTTCACAGCTTCTCTCTGTCAAGTTACAGCCATTCATCCTGACGAGACAATAATCAACAAGATTATTTTTTACACATTGTTTTGTTACATGTTTTCTCATTATGCATTTAATTACCATCATTACTAAATTCATATTCAATTTATTCTGGTGTCGTTACATTTATTTACAGGAAACCGGTGGTCTTAAAATATATTTTCGTTAAGTTTAAATTCAATTTTCATACATTTCACTTAGAATAAGTTGTTAACATTCAATATACGGTTTGTAAATAGAAGTAAATTACAAAATAGTAGAAAAAGCTATGAACACTTCAGAAGCAGGCTCATATTTATTCTGGATGTGAAAAAGGTTATATGTTAAGCTTCAATAATACAGCTCTTGTCAAACAGCACCAACTAGTTTTATCACATTTTTAATCTAAATCTTGAAGTTGATCACTTGCTGCTACAAGATGAAAATGGGATCTGATCAAACTGAATTCATCCTCAGCTAAATGTTTGTGTGGATGAGAGATTTTTCACAGTATGGATTCCTACTGTGAAGCTGGGTCTGAACTTTAGGAAAGTAGCTGACCAGAGCAGGTGAGTATGTATTCAGTGCACTAATGAATGTAAAAGTGGTTTACAGAAATATACTGTAACGTTGAGGTGTAAGGTGTACAAAGGATTGAAATCAGAATCAGTAAATATATTTGTGAAATTACACAGCTTTGATGGAGGCTTTGGCCACTGGCAGGAGCCTCAAAAGAGCTTCCTCTGATGCAGAGTATTTCTTTAGGTCGAACACATCCAGATTTTTTTTTGATGACAGCAAGATGAAGACCAGAGCTGACCACTGAGCAGGAGACAATTTATCTGTGGAAAGACTTCCTGAACTCAGGGACTGTTGGATGTCCTCCACTAGAGAATGATCATTCAGTTCATTCAGACAGTGGAACATATTGATGATTCTTTCAGCAGACAGATTCTCACAGAGCTTCTCCTTGATATACTGGACTACCTCCTGATTGGTCTGTAAACGACATCCTGTTTCTGTTGGGAGGTCTTGTAGGAGAGTCTGATTGGTCTGCAGGGAAAGACCCAGGAGGAAGCGGAGAAACAGGTCCAGGTGTCCGTTTGGACTCTGTAAGGCCATGTTCACAGCATTTTGGTAAAAGTGTGTCTCTGTACATTCTCTTATTTCAGACGTATTGGAGGTTGTTACTTCATCTTGCAGCAGATTGACTCCAGTGTTGAAGAAAGTCAGATGGACATGAAGAGCAGCCAGAAACTCCTGAATGCTCAGATGGATGAAGCAGAAAACCTTGTCTTGGTACAGTCCTCTCTCTTCTTTAAAGATCTGTGTGAACACTCCTGAGTAAACTGAAGCTGTTCTGATGTCAATGCCACATTCTCTCAGGTCGGATTCATAGAAAATCAAGTTGCCTTTCTGCAGCTGTTCATATGCCAGTTTTCCCAGAGCCTCAATGATTGCCCTAGTCTTTGGATTCCAGTGTGGATCTGTTTCATCCCCTTCATCATACTTGACCTTCTTCATTTTGGCCTGAACCACCAAGAAATAGATGTACATATCAGTCAGGGTCTTCGGCAGCTCTCCTCCCTCTCTGGGTTTTAGTGCATCCTCCAGAACTGTAGCAGTGATCCAGCAGAAGACTGGGATATGGCACATGATGTGAAGGCTCCGTGATGTCTTGATGTGAGAGATGATCCTGCTAGCTTGTTCCTCATCTCTGAATCTCTTCCTGAAATACTCCTCCTTCTGTGTGTCAGTGAACCCTCTGACCTCTGTTATTATGTCAACACACCTAGGAGGGATCTGACTGGTTGCAGCAGGTCGTGTGGTTATCCAGAGGTGAGCATTAGGTAGGAGGTTCCCCCTAAAGAGGTTTGCCAGCAGCACATCCATTGAGGCAGCCTTTCTTGGGTCAGTTAGGATTTCAGTGTTGTGGAAATCCAGAGGAAGTCGACACTCATCCAGACCATCAAAGATAAATACAATCTTGAAATCTTCAAAGCTGTAGATTCCTGCTTCTTTGGTTTCGGCAAATAAGTGATGAACAAGTTCCACCAAGCTAAATTGTTCCTCTTTCAGCACATTTATCTCCCTAAAAGTGATTGGAAATATGAACTGGATGTCCTGGTTGGCTTTCTCTTCTGCCCAATCAAGAGTGAACTTCTGTGTTAATACTGTTTTACCAATGCCAGCAACTCCCTTTGTAAGAAATGTTCTGATTGGTTCATCTCTTCCAGTTGAGGCTTTAAAAAAATCTTCTTGTCTGATTGTTGTTTCAGGTCTGTCTTGTTTCCTGGAGGCCAAATCAATCTGTCTGACCTCATGTTCATCATTGACCTCTGCAGTCCCTCCCTCCGTAATGTAGAGCTCTGTGTAGATCTGATTCAGAAAGGTTGAGTTTCCTGCTTTAGCAATCCCTTCAAATACACACTGGAATTTCTTTTTCAGCTTAGATTTAAGTTTACGCTGACAAACCGCAGCCAAAAATTCTAAAAAAAAAGAAAAAAAAATCCCAAATAAGATTTATTAATAAATTATTCTGTAAATAGTCTAACGTTTCAGTCTACTAAAGAATGAGTGTTTGAACATAAGTTGGTCTATCTGCTGACAGATTAATAAATATTCACTGTATCCAGTAACTTAAATCTTTAGAGAAATCTTCTTACTATTCTGTAGACAGTCAGCCAACCGCTCCTGCTTCATTCTCATCAGAAAGTACATTGTGATCTTCACAACTGCATCTCTGGTGCTCCGCCTCTCATCCTTATCCTCATCCTCCAACAAATCCCCATCCTCTAACTGATTTTCCAAGTCTTCTGAACAATCTGAGCTCAGAACCCTTTGGATCTTCTTTAACTCTTTCCCAATGAAAGTAAAGATTTCTGACTTGAGCACCTGGAAATGAAAGACACTGAGTGCAGAGTCTAAAGACCTGCAAGTCTAAACAGAGAAATATGCACAATTTTAAGAGCTGAAAAGTACATTTCGATATATACCCACCCTAAATATGAAGTTTAACTGTTTATGATCCTGCGAAGCAGACAGACCCCAGGAAACATTTGAGCCCTTCTGCAGAAGGCTATGGAAAAAAACATAATGTTTAAGTTCTCTAGACATGAGGATGCGCAAAGCTACTGCCGTTTACCCTTCAAAGGAAGAACAAAACATAACAGAGCTATGTACAGGAAATATAAGGAGCTGCTGGATCATTATCAGAAGAAAGTAGAGCTTGCAGTGTGCAAGGGCATAGAGGCTTTGCCGCATCCAGAGTATTGATCTGCAGAGCATTATGCAGAGTACAGCCATCAGAAGCCTACTGAAAAGGTTCCACACCATGATGGATCATAAGGTTAGACATGTTAGGTAGCTGTTTAGAGATGAAATATCATATTAACTGTGATAATATTGGTATAAATATTTAGGCATGCCTCATGCTAGTCTCCAATGACGACCTAGTAGGGAACTACAAGAGGTCAGATTTACAACAAAGCAATATTTTTTCAAAATATGCAAGAAAACTTTTCCCGTTAAAGGTGGACACAAAATACTTGTTTCCTCACTTGAGGGGAAAACACTATCAGCTACAACCAGGCTATAAAGGAGGGGACACTAACAGTTGGTGATGTGTGACTGAAAACCAAAAATCCTTTCTGCACTTGCTACTTCACTCCAAATGACGGGAAGAGCAAAATGTAGATGCAAAAAACTTGACCTTGAGAACACATCTCGCATATTAGCTTCTTTTCAGTCACATCCTTTTAAATCTATAATCAAATTTAAAATTCTACTCCTTACAAACAAGGCCTTGAATAATCAGGCCCCATCTTATCTTAAAGAGCTCACAGTAGCATGTCACCCCGCCAAAAAAACCCACACTTTGGGGTGACATGTCACGCCAAAGTGACCACGTGTACTGCCGTCTTACAGTACATATGGTTCCGTACAGTATTTATAGGAACGATAGGAGGCAGTCGTCACCTTTCAGGCCCTTCTTCTGTGGAACCAGCTGCCAGGTTGGGAGCTGACAGACACCCTGACTACTTTTAAGAATAGGATGAAAACGTTCAATTTTGACAAAGCATAGAGTTAGTCCTAGATCAGGTGACCCAGAATCCTCCCATCAGTCCCCGTTAGTCTAGAGCTCCATTCAAGATCTTGCCTCATTGGGTGAGGATGATTAGGAGAAAGGTGGTGGATGAACTCAAAACTACTCAGGAGGAGAATGCTAATGATCTGAAGGCAGCTGGAGCTAGAGTCACCACGTATGCCATTGATAACACAGTAACTAATTACTGATTACTTCCCCCAAAAAGTAATCCTGTTACTTTACTGATTACTTATTTTCAAAAGTAATTAATTACTTAGTTACTTTTTAAAAACACGATTTACAACCTGAATAAAGCGATAGATCTTTCAGCCCAATTCTACTTTTTCTACATAATCCATCATACAAAATGTAATCAAATGGAAAAGTCTCTTTTTAAAACTTGTTTTATTAGTTTTAATGTTTTAACTTTATGCATCAAGCAAAAATTTAATTATATGCAAAATTCTCTGACTGGAAGAAATTTGTTTAACATTTAAACCTATTTTCTGCACATTTCAGCACATAAAATAAAATATTTTTTGTGTTTACACTCACGCTTTCAAACAGATGTACGTAAAACAAAGCAGAAAATGAATAAAGTCAAAGACTAGCGGTCCTGTTGCTCTATTTTCACCTGTAAAGCAGGAGTAGGGTAGGCAGAGGTTTACCCTGGTGCAGGTGTGCCACAGCGGTCAGTTGAAGAATCCGCGAGTTTCTCTGGGAGTTTCCCATTACGTCGTAGCTACTCGGTGCTTGCTTGGAAGTTTAGGGGTTTTTTTCGCTGTAAAAAGAAGTTTTCTTCCCACGCACGATGGACACTAATGTTTTTGTCACTTTTTATGGAATCAAACTTAAAGTAAGGTCAGTACTTCCACGCTTTAAACGCTGCACGCTCATACTCTCTCACGCACTCGATATATTATCCATTGTTGATCTGCACACAGCTGTTGTCGCACTCGCTTACCTCACTGTCATGAGACATTCTCACAAAAAAAAATTAGTAATGCAGTAACGCAGCGTTCCTACGGAAAAGTAACGGTAATCTAATAGTAATCCCTTACTTTACTCGTTACTTGAAAAAAGTAATCAGATTACAGAAACGCGTTACAAATAACGCATTACTGCCCATCTCTGGCCGCCACACTACTTATCCTGCTTACTCAACATTTTGTTTTATATCCCTGCTCTAATCAAGGTAAACTTTTTATATATATTTAATGCTTACCGTACATCAGGATGTTGTTCATCTTTAAACACAACAGGTTTATCCATAGACTTCTCACTTTTCATGGACACACAGCTAGAGTGGTCTGCTCTCTGTTTCTGCATCCTAATAAATACTATAAAATTAAAAAATAAAAAAAGAAAGAAAAAATATTCCATCAGATTAAATATAACTCATTTGGAAATAATTGTCAGCTTTATGTCTCTGCAGTCTGAACTCTCTGAGACAGGAAAAGCAGAATTGTTGAACATGATCTAAAAATCTGACTGGGCCTGTCGGTATGATCAGTTTCCTCTGAATCACCTTCATGACTGAGTGCAGCACTTTCTTCAGCAGCACCCACAGATTTTTCAATTTTTGTCATCACCTCTCTCAGTACCTCTTCAAAATCCTTCCCACTTAGCTTGGCTATTCCTCACAGTTCACTCAGGTAAGTATCTGTGACACTCCCCCCAACTCTCTGGGAATAAACATTTGTCAAAGCATGTACAGAAAGTACTACATTAGGATTTGCAGCTGAGGGGTGGACATAAGGCAACAAGGGTCCTAATGCTTGTACTGCTACTCCCGAGTTATACTCCACTATCTGATCTTTGTTGAATTCAGATACTTGATCATCAATGGTGAGGGCCCTACTAATAGAGCCATACTGCTTTAAGAAGTCAAAAATCTCTTCATCCTTTTCTGATCCTGTTACCCCATGCACTATGACAGCATTTGGGACCTTAATACCTAATTTTTCAACAAACTCCATCTTTTAGTGAGACAAAGGGGTTTTACCAAAAAAACCCTTACACAAAATACGCTTCACTATCTTTACCGATTAATTCAAGGCTCCTGGCTGGCTGGCCACTTTTACACTGTAACCAGCATGTAACAAAATATATAAACAATGGGCAAATCAGAAGACTTCAGGAACGGCAGGAGCCTAGAGGATGGGTGACCACAATGAAAACACAGCCACAAATGATGAAGCAATGATTCAATTTTATTTGAATTTGTGCACTGTATTGAATTTAACAATAATAATCAAAACTGTGTGCGCGCACACACAATTCTGGTTATTATTGTTAAAAAAAAAGAAAAGAAAAGAAAAGAATGTCAGACCCGGATCTTTTAAAGTGTCAATAGAATCCAGTTCAGGCCTGTTTGGTGATCTGGCGGTTTATTGGTGTGAGTCCAGTTCATGATCGATGTATGGTTTACACAGTTCGTCCTGTTACAATCCAGGCAACCAGACTTCAAGATTCAGTTCCATATGGGCTGTGGCTCACCATCCATTGCAATGGAAGATCATTCCTCTTCTACGGATTTCCACAAAGTCAGTAATCTAAAGTTCTCCGTGGAGTCTCAGCTCCCCAAAAAACCTGACCTAAGAGTGAGGTCAGAATTACTTCAAATGAACATTGTTTACACTTAACTAATAACACTTCTGTTGAAGGTGTAAAGCATGAACGAAATCTGTTTCAATTTCAAGTTCTATTTCTAATGTTGTACAACTAATTAAATTCAAAAGGGTTTTCATTACATGGCAATGTAGCTATCAACAATCATGAAATCAAGATTAATAAAGTCCATAGATCTAGTCCACGCTACTCCTTTGAAGCAGCAGAATCAATATAGTCTCTTCATTGTTAATTAACAGCAGTGGTAAATAAAGATAACACATGAAAACGTTTCAATACAACAGATATACATACTGTTTTTCCTTAACCTAACAGCAGGATTGAGAGTTTAGCTAGTACCCGCTAGCTACTAAACATGTTTGTGGTTGTTACAGTAAAAAATATAACTTTTTCTACTGAAAGTTTATGTTTTTTGTCTAATTTTAAATTAATTATGTTAATACAGTATGTCAAAATGAAAAACATAACTGTAAATTCCGACACGTGAAGTTGTCCTGAAAAGAATGATACCAAAGTAAATAGTTTTTAAAGGTGAAATGTAGTAAAATCAAAAGTAGTTAAAAATGGCCACTTATACCCTGGACCCCAGAGGGTTAAACGTTTTTTTTAAAGTAACGCAATAGTTACTTTTCAAGTAATTAATTACTTTTAGAATCTTCTAACTCAGTTACTAACTCAGTTACTTTTTTGAAGACATAACTAGTAACTATAATTAATTGCTTTTTCAAAGTAACTTGTCCAACACTGGTCATGAACTGTGTTTTGAGCAAGCAGGATTGGACCCAAACACAGACTCGTCAGGCAGGCGAAAAGTAAACTGAAAACAGCTTTATTGCTGGAAACAAGAACAAAACTAAACGAACACACAGAACTAACTAAACTGAGGAACAGAAAATAAACTAGAGAGGCAGACTATAAATGAGCCTGAACATAAACCATAATACAAAATGACATGAAAATACAGGAACACAAAACACAGGGTCAAATGACCCAGGACCATGACAACCAGATAAAGGATTTTGTTGCTGTTATATGCTTCATGTTCTTTGTAGATTTCTGATGACCATTTTGTTATTTGATCATGTCTCTGATTGGAATAGGTGAATTAAAATGTAGTGTAAAGCACTTTGGGGTCCATAGGGACTAAGTAAAGCGCTATATAATCAACCGATTCGCACTGCAACCTGGTTTGCCTCTTATCTGTAGTTATTTTTATTTTATTTAATAACTGTACAGTACTCTGTTTATAGTAACCATTGTCCTTAATGTGAATATGTAAGAAAAATTGTGTATGTTTATGTTCTGTGTACTGTTTGTTTGTATATGTGTCTTTCTTGCTGCTGTTACAACCAAATTTCCCCTTGTGGGACAATTAAAGGATTATTCTATTCTATTCTATACAAATACATGCCATTTACCATTTGTTTCTGTATTTCTAGCTCCCTAAGTTCTTTAGTATCTCCTAATTTCCAGTATTAGGTTTTGTTTATATACCTTCCCTGTCTCTGTCTCAGTGTCAGGTCTGCTGTTATGTTTCCTGTTTTACTTTGACAGTCTGGGTCCCATGTTAATGTTTTCAGTTTTGCTTCCCCTTCGTCTCATCATGTTTGATTACTCCCAGCTGTGATCTCCGCCTGTGTCTCGTTCCCTCTCTATCCCTCTGTGTATTTAAGCCCTGTGTGTTCCTTTGTTCAGTAGTGATGGGCAGATGAAGCCCCATGAAGTACTGAAGCTTTTCATCCAATTGGTTCACCCCAACGCGAAGCTTCATGAAGCTTCATTTGCTCTAGTAGGACACCTACTGGACGTAAAAATATTAGTTGGCAAGAATTTGAAGTGTGGCATTTTGCACACAGCCTGTAAATGTCAACAACAAAAGGAGTGTGTAAAACATGTATATTGTAGTGATGGCAG